GTGTGTGTGTGTGTGTGTGCGTGCGTGTGTGAGAATGCACCTGTTCTATTGTTCCACATCTTTTCCTAGAGATTGTAAATCAAACACAGTTGGGCAGGATAGCTGTGTCTGTTAAACATGTGTTGGTGCTTAGCTCCTCCCGGGCAAAAGAGGAAAAGAACACGAGGGCAGTGTCCTGTGACAGTCAGTGGCACAGACAGAAAGAGCCGCAGGTGGGAGCAGCAGAATGCAGTTTTATTTGTTTTTCCATTATCGATTCCGGAGTCAACTCCTTCCTGTGCTTCTGACGTGCACCTCATAAACCAGCCTTCCTCTTCCTCCCTATATCAGAGCGGCGTGGCTTCACCTCTATCCTCAGCAGCCGAGTTAAAAAACAAGGCAGCGTCTCAATACAAACAGAGGAGCTGTTATTAACGGAGTAAATGAACAAATATTTTACTGAGAATACTGCTCATATAAACACAGCATGCAGCCGGATGACTTGTGACCAAACAAACCTGTTTTCACCTAATGATGGGCGACTTTGAATCTCTGTTTTCCAATTTGTTCCAGTGCTGCCTGTTTATACCTGGACCCACATCTGATTCCTATGTTTATTTGAAACCATCAGCAAACAAAGTGTACATGTGAGTCACAGACGCAAAACTCAACAACTACCTACAGTAACCTGGCAACAATCGGGACTCTTAAAGCCCACACGGCGAACGAACACAAAGAGGCATAAATAATAATTAACGCTACATTATTCTGAATCAGGCTTTTAACAAACTAATCAAACATCAAGAATGAGATAGGGAGTTCACATTGGTTGCCGGGGTTGAGTGGCAGTGATTCACACCACCCTCCCTGCTGAGGAGTCAACGACCCGATGACGAGAAGATGAGTTACGTGCGTCAGATGTCACGTTGCCAAGAATACGGCTCCTGTCTCCTCTTTGCACTTGCACAGTAAATGTCTGTTTTAAACACATTTCCACCTTCAGGCTCAATAACCAAACTAGAGAGAGTAAATGTCTGGAGGCCCAGACATCTGCAGACACTGATTCTTCCACCGATGGGAGGTTTTAGTGCCCTAAGCATCATGAGGCAGTTAACAGTTTAATGTGACACAGAAGAACTTTTCTCAGTTTGGATCCATCTCTGTGGTTTTATATTTTGTGAAATTCCATCAGTCTAATTAAAAGCTTCGGTCGAATAGTTTTTATTTGCTCGGGACAGCTCGGACATTTAAACAACAGTGCTGCCCCCTGTCGACTCTGTGGGTTTTTTACATGAACAAATATAACAGCAGTGATTGAATAAAGATATATAGATGATTATATATGAACAGAAAAGAACAGAGGAGTCCATACTGAATTTTCTAAGTCTCTCATTTCACCCCCTGTTCTATTGTTGTACCTCATGGGAGAGAGGGGCTCAAATAATGTGCAAGTGACCAGAGATTTTCTTGTGTGGCTCCTTTTTGTCTGTAAACAGAGAATGACCCCAAAGATATTCATGCTCCAGCCCTTTCCATTAAATCCCAACACACAAACCACCAGACTCCACTGCTCACATGGGGACCTGTGAGTTACAATTGTGTAGTTACAGTACACTCATTTAAAGTTGTCACCATGGCTACTGTGGATAATTGGTAGATTACTGATACACTTTTAGAGCACGGATCATTATGACCGCTGACAGGTTGGATAACATGTCATTAGGCAGTTTCAGAGCCACGCAATGTGTGGATCCCCGACATGGACGGTTACATCTATATCTGACTCTGCTGCCTACCCGGGCTTTTCTTCAGATATTCTTCAAAAGACGAGGAATCGCTGTTGACACGGAGGAGAAGCACGGTTCTGTTTGTGTGACCCGGCAACGTGTGATCACAAACGACTCTGACAGCGGCAGAAAAAATGTCAGATCTCAGAGGCAATGAGCAAGAGAGCAGACAGCGAGCCAAGACACCCACTCCACACGCATGAGTTTTAGGCCTAATGTGTAGGAGCTTCGTGACCGAAACTGGACTCATAATGTCGTCATTGATTCAACGTACAACATAACATGTGAAACTGCATAAAACAGTAAAAAATTACTCGCACCGTTGTGGAGCTTTGGTCGCATCTTAGATGAGTTGATCTCACACTGAGGGTCTGCAGGTGCATGTTTTCAAGAAAACTGTTGTCGCTATTTAATGCACATGAACGATACACATAATGACTACATGAATGACACACATACACAAACCTGGGAGCAACATAGTGGACACAACTTCAGCGTCCTCTATCATGTCGATGATGCAGCGCTGGAAATCCTTACTGCTGTTGGACTGCAGGTAGCTGCAGAGACAATAGGAAAAAAAAGTTTGAGGAAACTAATTGGAGCTTTAACTGTATCAGATATCTATGGTATATTTTGACAATCTACATTTTAAAATGTCATTGGGTTTGAAGATGTTTATTTTATTGGAGGCAGTTAAATCTATATTCCGTCTATGAGTTGTGCAATGAGCTCATCATGTTCATGACACATTTTTAGACATTCTGTGCAAAATATTACAAATGGTAGATGAATACATTCATTGATGTGTTTGTACATCTCTCTTTCTGAGGACCAGTTTTAGACATTAACCTACGTAGTGAGGACATTTTTCTCAAAGTGAGGACATTTTGGCCGGTCCTCACTTTGTGAACCCCCTTTAATGGACTGTTTGGGGGTCAAGACTTGGTGTTAGGGTTACAATTAGGTTTAGGTAAGGTCAAGGGTTAGGTTAAGGGTTAGGCATTTAGTTTGGATGGTTAGGATTAGGGTAAGGCTGGGGAATGCATTATGCCAATGATTGATTAAGATAGCTGTACAAACGTGTGTGTGTGTGTGTGTG